AAAGGAGCCAACAGTACGATATGCATATGATTGAACCCTGCAGCATTTACCTATTGTAATCCTATTATAAGTTCTACACGATAGGATCTACTGCATTAGGATTACAGTACGCACAATCAGCATATCAATCTCCGCTGCATGATGTGCAAAATTCCAAAATTCTTGCATTTCAAAAAATTTGATATGTTGGTTCATCTATTCCAAATCCCTTTATGTTCAGCTTAATCGCTTCCAATTTAACAAAAACAATCTTTGAATAAGCAGACCGCCTTTTATAAAGTAGGTTCCTTTTCCACATTATATACATTACTTGCCAGAACTACTGACTTTTGTTTCTCAAGCTTGAAAAAACGGCACGAAAATGACACCACATTCATGAGTGCGAGCATAAAAACTAACAAAATACTGAGTAGCAGAAATACTGTTGATGGCTGATTCAAATTCAGCAAAGCCAACCTCTTTCGCAGAAACAGCTTGGACTTTCTCTTTTTTCACATTTCCACTAAGATGTTCATTTGCATAATCAGTGATCAGCTGATCCAGCTCATATTCCATGTCCATTTCAAAATCCGAGCGAACTGCTGGAAATACTTCCATCATTGAACCTTAGCCAGAATTTTTTTTTTGTAATTTGATGAGAATGAGGTTGCACTTACACTTCTCCTGTCGACGCTTCTGAACGCAGTCTCGCCTAATTCCAGCCAATTTGCACAGTTCTTGTTGTAGTTCGTCATCGGAACTAAGTAAATAAAAATATAAAGCAGTGCTTGAATGTACAACAAATGCCTAAGGCGCTGCCGTCTGATAACGTTTAAAAGTCTCCAGACATTCATTCGCAGACAGAGATACGATCTTACGGTAGCGATGCAACCCTAGTGAGGCATGCAGAATGTAATTTTTGATAAGAAAAACGTATTCAAATGTACTAGAAATCACGTTGCAAGAATGAAGAAACCAATGCTTTAGTTCTCAAAGATCAAGAGAACTGTAAGTCAAAAAGTGATAATAGTAATCTATAGATACAGTATTTTGTGA